TTTGGTACCGGCCATCAAACTTGGGTCCTTGTGCTTGCAAGGCAGGTGCCAGAACCACTGAGCTAAATTCCTAGCCCTCTGATTCTTACAAGCAATTTTACATTATTTCAGGGTAACAAGTTACATCCCATTCCATGTTTCTTAATTTTTAAAAATGTTTGCAGCACAGTAGCAATTACTGTCAAATAGTTATAATTTCAGTAAATTAACATTCAAACCTCCAGCATGCTCACCTCTTACTACAACCTCTCGTTAGTACAGTTCATCTCTTCTTAAAGGTGCCATGCCATATTCCTCTTTCCATACATTTTATCTCTAAAACTATACTCTCTTGTCTCCCTAAACACTGCATGTGTATCAGGGTCCAGCTCTAATCCCCCTTAGGCACAGAGCCTTCCATTTCTTGATTATTTATTGTATCCTAGGGACCTCAGCTTCACCTCCCAGCTCTCCCATTCCACTTCAGCCATTGTGACACCATCATTGCCGTCACATCTTGGAGCCTGTGTGCACTGTGATCTTTCCCACAGCCAGACTTGCAAATGGCTGTTTTGGTACCTTCAAGACTCTTGCCAAATGTAGCTTTGTAAGAGGCTTCCTTTTTCCTGGCCACCCTTCCTAAAGGAGCAGTGCCTCCTCCACTCCCCAATGTCCTCTTCCCTTTTACCCTGCTCCATTTTTCTCCATAGCACTCCTCATCTCTCAGTGTCTGACAATACCTGTTTTCTCTTTTCCAAAAAAGTAAGCTCTATAAGGGCAGGGACTTCATTATTGCCATATTCCCAGCTCTTAAAATAGTTCATGGTACAGGCTAAGGACTTAAATATTTGGTGGATTTCCTGTTTACTAACTTCCTTGTTAATGGTTCTTCTTTCCTCAGTTCTTTGACTAATGTTTATGTTAATCTTTTTTTCTGAGAAGGCTTCAACTGTACCATGTTCCATGGGATCATCACAGGTTTGAACTGAGTACCTGGTTGCCTTAATTCTGAGACTGTATTGGGCAGAATACAATTGAACATCCCTAATCCAAAAAACAAAAGTACAAAATGATCCAAAATCTGAAACCTTATGGTTGTTGACATGACTTTCCCAATAGAAAATTTTTCTGTACCTCATTCATGTGACAGTTGCAGTTAAAATGTGACCACATAGTGCTGGGGATTTAGCTCAGTGGTTTCATTGCCTGCCTCGCAAGCACAAGGATCCGAGTTTGATTCCCAGTACCAAAAAAAAGCAACAACAAAATGTGACCACATTAAAAAATACAGTATTAAGCCAGGGATTTAGTTCAGTGGTTCTGCCGCCTGCCTCGAAATTGCAAGGTCCTGAGTTCAATCCCGGTACCCCACCCCCAAATACGGTATTAAGTTACCGTAAGTATACGTGAGTAAAATGAGTATGAAATGCAGTGAATTTGTGTTTAGACTTGGATCCCTTCCATGAGCTGTCTCATTATGTATATGCAGATATTTGAATGTCCAAAACACTTCTGGTCTGAAGCATTGTGGATATAGGATATTCAGCCTGTATAATATTATCTGGTCATACTTTTTCCATTTCCTTAGAACTTTATAGAAATTGTTGTTCTAGTAAGGGATAGTCTGGGACTCTCCTGATTTTTCCCCATTTAGGTGATTTTCTTTTTATGTAGGGAATGCCTAAAGATTTATCCTTTGAAGTCAGAATGAAGCTATGTATTAATAATATATATGTTATTTTAATCTGCAGCTTCAGTGTTTTCTATATTCCTGGGAAATGTATATCTTTTAGCAAATCTGCTACTCCATTTATTAGGATCCTCCTTCAAGAATACCAGTTAGCCTTAGGTTAGATTAGTTTTATTTTTGCCTTTATCTGATGGCTTCTGTTTCTTTCTTCCATCTTCATTCGCTAGAATTATATCCAGCCTTTATGTCCTTAATTTTATTTTCTGCAGTGTACTGCATATGTCTTATTCCTTGTTAAATTTCATGTATCTATCCTGTTGTGAAGATGTGCTGATGTGTTTCTTTGGTCCTGTAATATCCTTTATTTCATTTTTGCAAAGCTATTTATCATCTCATATTCAAACTTTTATTATCTGTACTGTTATTAAGTTCAATAGCTTGAATCATTTCTGAAGAATTTAGAAATTTTCTATTGATTTATTTTCTTACGGGTTGTGCTCTTTGTCTTTTGATGTGCTTCTCTCTCACTCACTTGCTCTCTGTGTACTACAAACTATACCTTTCCATCTCTAGCCTTTTTCCTTTTTCTTGATGTGTTTAGTTAGTTGCATTTTACTGCTCCAAGGATTTTTTTCTTCTACTGCACCATTGTTGCCATACCATTAAATTTCATCTTGATCATGTTTTGATTCCCTCCATACATCTTATTGTTGATACAAGGAGTGGATAGCTTTTATTCATTTATTCAGTCAGTACTTACTAAATAATTGTTATGTGTCAGGCACTATTCTCATAGGTGCACATGCAATGAACAAAACAGACAAAAGTCCCTGTCCTCATGGAGCTAACATTGTGGCATAGGGGTAGAACTACAAACCAAAGTAACATATGTTGTTTTATTTGTGAGCATTAAGAGAAAGAATTAAGTAGGGAAGAGGAAGTGATGTCAGATGAAAGAGCAAAGAATATAATTTTACCCAAGAGATCAGGAAAGATTTCATGGTGAGAGTTTTATATTTTTATGTGATTTCAAGGAATTGAGGGATTAGAGGATGTGGCATCTGGGGAATAACATCCAGACTATTACAAAGGCTACAATGTAGCAGAATTGTGCTTACTGCCAGTACCAGCCAGAAGAGAGGCTGTGAAGGACCGGGTCTTTGTTAGACTTTAATTTTACTGTAAGAGTGTTGAGGAGTTACAGGTTTCAAATAGACAAGGGATAGGGTTTTATCCATTTCTGCAGGATCACTTAGACTACTATGGTGAGAAAAGTGTGCAGGAAAGGTGAAGGTGCAAAGTAGGAAACCATTTGAAGTATATTACAAGAAATTATGCAAGAGATGATGAGGAACCAGACAAAAGCAACAGACATGGCAAGAAATAGTCTGATTCTAGTTCTGTTTTTAAGGTAGGACAGTGCAGGATGGTCTGAGCATCTGGAAAAGTGGAGATACCATTTGCTGAGAAGGAAAGACTACCAAAAAAGCAGATTTGAAGAGAAACTCAGGAGCTCAGTTTTAGGTGCTTATTAGGCATCTAAGTCAAGGTGTCAACTTGATGATTGTAGGACTTTGTTCGGGGAATGGTCTAGGCTAAAGATATAAACTCAAAAGTCATCAACATGGGTGATATTTGAAGTCATGGTCTGAATGAGGTCACTTTGAGTATGAGTGTAGAGAAGAGAGCCAAAGCCTAATTCAAACAATATAAAGCTTAGAGGCAGGGGGAGATGTTAAGGAAACCATGCAAGAAACAAGAATGATCAAAGAGAAAGGAGGAATACTGAGGAGAATGTGGTATGCAGAAAGCCATATTTAGGTACACATGCAAGTAGAGGAGTTGATGTAAAAGAGACACTTGTGTTTGCTTCTATTCCCTCACTGAAACACAAAGCAGAGTCCACAACACAGAATGGAGAAAAGACTACTGTAGGTTTGACCAAAGAGTAAAGGCATAGAGTCATCATCCCAAAATGTAGCCCAGTGACTGATCCAGGAGCACTCACAGGCCCACCAGAGGTTCATGTTCATGAATGTTTGTGTAATATTCTTCTAGTTCTGATAACTTGTGATGGTGTGTGCATGAAGTCACTGAAGATGGTATTTAAGTAGGATTGTAGCTTAGTTTAATGAATAATACAAGTAAGAAAGGCAAAGAATTTGATAAATGCAATGGAAGGATTTAATACTTGATCTTGGGCTTTGAGCATGATAAAGACCAAAGAAGAAACACCCGGGAAATGAGAAGAAATGAACAGGGGGTATGAAAAATTGAGTGTGGGAAATGGTGCTGAAGGAGTGTTTGAATTAGAGCTCTAGAAGGAGCATGCTGCAAAGTGGTTGAAGAATAAGATACAGTACTACAGATTCTGAAGGTGCTAACATTATTGGAAATAAAGTCTTGAGTATGTCCATTGGGTTACTAATAGAATAACCTGATCATTCAGGAAGAAAACAAAGAACCTCGCGCCCAGGGTTTGGGAAGAATTACCTGTCATGTTACTGAAATCAGCAAGAAACATTACCAAAGGAGTTATAGAGTAACAGTGAATGATGATGAGTTAAAAATCTCCAGGAAATGAAGTGAGTGCCCCGGGGATCTATAGATGCCTGCAGCAAGAAGTAGTGAATGATAGACAGCAAAGGATTCCAAGTTGAATGTTTTTAGGGCGAGTGAGCAACACCAAGAGCAAGGAGGACATCTGTCATAGTGTGAGGTCTGTGGGGATGGCAGTGCCACCAGATGAGAGCCAGGTAAAGAGCAGCTACTGTAAAGGTTGGAGTAGTGGAGGCTCACTGAGTTCAGAGGGCCAGCGAAAGGGTTCCTGGAATCAGGGAGATAGGTGATGTCATCAGAAAAGGCTATGTGGCAGCTTCCTGGACAGCATCTCAAGAGAGCATGAATGAGCTAGAGCCTGGGATTTTGTGGAGACTCACTCAAGATTAGCTCCGATGGTCCCAAAGCAGATAGTGGCGATGAAGCAAGGGGTATGGGAGAAGAAAAGGTGAGGAGACCTGCCAGAACCTGGTGTAACTCTTGGCTCTTGTTGTGCTTACTTCAGAAATAGC